AGTGCAGGGAGTAAATGAACACTTTCTCAGTAATATGCTGTCTATAACGTGGGAGGTGGTATTGAATGGTTATTTGGCAGAGATTTTAGAATTAGAAAGACCTAGGCTTGATTCCTAACCCTGAATCTTATGACCTTGAGTAAAATACCTAACCTCTTCATACTTGTTTCCTCATTTATAAAATGAGGATAATTATATCTTCCTCATAGGGTTATTGTAAGGATTAAATAGATTAAATAAATCTATAGATATATATATCTATAAAGCCCCTAGCATATTCTGGAACATGGTAGGCACTTGGTAAATGGCTGCAATTATAAACAGGTAGTTAAAAACTTTTGCTCTTTTCTGAAAAACCATGAGGTTGGAGAAGTGTCTCAAGTCAGAATACTTGGCAGGAGCTATGCTCAGACACAAGATCCAGAATATCTGAACACCTGAAGTACAAGGCAAAATAGGTTTTCTTCAAATGAAGAGGTAAAGGAGAATTAAACAGCAATAGACAACAAAGTTTAATGAAGATGAAAATTGGCTCATAATAGAGACCCAATTGATGGGATTCTGTAATTTGCTGTATGTTGTCCTCTTTGTTCTATCTCTGGCCTTAGTTTACCCAAGATGTTCAGCCTATCGGAAGACAGAGAAATCAGATCAGAGAGAGCATAGATCAAATGGGGTACTCACTTTATTATTGGCTATACCTGCTCATAAGCATCATTGAGGGGCTGGTCCGGTTGCATAGTGGTTAAATCTGCTTTGGTGGCCTGGGGTTCACGGGTTTGGATCCCAGGTGTGGACTTACACACCACTCACCAAGCCATGCTATGGTGGTGTCCCATATACAAAGTGGAGGAAGATTGGCATAGATGTTAGCTCAGAGACAATCTTCCTCACCAAAAAAAAAAAAAAAAAAACAAGCCTTATTGAATTTTGAAGTCAGGCCTGTCAGAAAGGAGCAGGGTGCCCTGCTAGTTCATAGTCCTTTTTATTTTTTTATTTATTTATTTTTTTATTTTTATTTTTTTTTTTTAAAGATTTTATTTATTCATTTTTTTTCCCCCCCAAAGCCCCAGTAGATAGTTGTATGTCATAGGTTCACACCCTTCTAGTTGCTGTACGTGGGTCTCGGCCTCGCGTTGGATGGAGAAGTGGTGCCTTGGGGCGCGCCCGGGATCCGAACCCGGGCCGCCAGCATCAGAGCGCGCGCACTTAACCGCTAAGCCACGGAGCCGGCCCCATAGTCCTTTTTAGGCAAAATTTTTTCATCAGCATATTCGGCAACACTACCTGTGAATCACCTCATTCCTCTCCCTATACACCCAAATGTCCTAGGGCATATGCATTAGTTTTCTATTGAAGACTGGGCAAACTTGACTGGATTCTTTGCTCAAGGTCTCACAAGGTAAAAGTCAAAATGTCCACTGAGCTGAGCTCTTATCCTGAGGATCTGGGAAGGAATCTGCTTCCAAGATCATTCAGGTTGTTGGTGGAATCAAGTTCCCTGCAGTTGTAGATCTGAGGTCCCTATTTCCTTGATGGCTGTTAGCCAGCGGTCACTCTCAGCTCCTCAAGGCTGCTCTCAGGCCCTTTCCATGTGGCCCCTTCCATCTTTAAAATGGCAATGGACCATCAAATCCTCCCCCTGCTTTGAGTCTTTTTGACTTCTTCTGCCACCTGGAGAAAACTGTTTGCTTTTAAAAGTCTCTTGTGATTACCAGAGTAATCTCCCTATTTTAAGATAAATTGATTAGTAACCTTAATTACATCCGCAAAATCCCTTCAAAACAGTACCTAGATTAGTGTCTGACTGAATAACCAAGGATTGGGAATCTTGGGCAGCCCTCCTAAAATTCTGCCTACCACGGCATGGTTACACTCCCCTGAAAAGCTATCCCTTGAGGTCCTTAACACTTAAAGAATGTTGAGAAGCTATCGCCTCAGATTTCCCAGCCTCTTTCACAAGATGTTGGTATCCAAAAGCCTGTATGTTCTTATACAGGGCAAGGGACTAAAGCAGTCGAAATATTACTATCTGTCCTAGGGAATCCATCCTTCTGAAAAATTTCTATATAAACTACATAAAAAGCAAATACTAAAATCCCAACGGTAAGAATGCTACATTTGTTAACTATTCACACTGAGTTTATTTACCCAAATTTCTGTCTTTGTGGAGTTAATGATCTGTCTGGGAAAGTGGACCTGTAAATAACTAATTATAATTCAATGAGCTAAGTGTTATAATAGAGTTACATAAGGTTACACACTTCCTAGAATTGAAGACACCTTTGATTGTGGGATGTACCATCATATTTCAACATCTTTTGGGGTCATTAAGAATATCCTATCAAATGTATATATTTGAAAAAACTTGATGGACAATAGCATATATTTATCACTGGAATTACTTACTAACTTCTCTAAATCAAAGGGGGAGCCAAGCTTCTTATGAAGAGTCTAACTCTATTTGGATCCACTAACGATTCCTAAAGTGTGAATCTGTTATCAATTCTAGCTCTGAAAGTTCTCTGAACTTTTCTGAGAAATTAGTTAAATTCACACATCTGCAAGCAATGACAATTATGTTACTTTTCCATCTACTTCTCTACCTGGTAGACGGCTAGTTTCTTTTTTTCTTTTTTTTTTTTTG